GTCCCTCAGCAGTGTGGATGCCTTGGGATGGGGTTTGGGTCCCAGTTGAACCCCACCACCCTCCCTTGTCTGCTGGCATTGTCCTGCCTGCAGGAAAGAGCAGAGAGAAACCACACAGATGATCTCTGGATGGGCTGTGTCGTGCACGGGGGTGAAGCTCTCCAAGGAAAACACCATAAATCCCACAGCTGTTCCTGGTGGGAAGCTCCCCAAGGCCATTTCCCCCATCCCATGGCCGTGGTGGAAGGTTCAAAGTCTTGCACACAAGTGTCAGAATTAGCACTTCAGAAATCCACCTAAATTAACTTGACAGGCAGGCACAAGCGTGTGGTGGATCACTCACAAAGGGGAGCTGGGCCTAGCCCTGGAGAAGACACAAATCATTTGGATAATCAGTAGCAGGTGAACACGTCCATGAACCAACTGGGATGAGGAAGGGCAGCACACTGGAACATGTTGCTCTCTGGATTTTGTCCCTTGGAGGGAGGAGCTGGGATGGGCAGGGTAAGCAGAGCTGGATTTGGGGTGTCCCCACGGGCCTCCCACCCACGGCTGCCGTGGTCTCACCCCACACCCATCCCCACGGGTCCTCCAGCAGGGACATTCCCCTGTGGCAGCCCCACAGGCAGGACTCACCCTGGGTTTTTGGGTAACACCCTCTGATGTGAGGGGTGGGACACAGGGAGGCTGTGGATGGGTGCTTGAGCACTGCTGATTATGGCTTGGAATGGGATTTGTTAGCAAACCCTTCCTAATTCCCGGCGCTCCCAGGCACCAGCTGTCCCTGAGTGCTGCCAGCCCTGGCTGCCAGCCGGGACGGCTCCAGGCCAGCAGCTCCTCCAGAGAAGCTGTGGCTGCCCCTGGATCTCTGGAAGTGCCCAAGGCCAGGTTGGACAGGGCTTGGAGCAGCCTGGAATGGTGGAAGGTGTCCCTGCCCATGACAGAGGTGGAACAGGATGGTCTTGGTCCTTCCCAACCCAAACCATTCCATAATTCTGTGATTCCCCCTCCCCTGCACCCCACCCCAGCCCTGACTCACCCAAGGAGGATGGATTTGCAAGGGGCTTGTGATCTGCTGTCGGGCACTAAATGTTTCTGATCTTCTGCTGCTGCTGCTGCTCAGGAGAGCTCTCAGCCATAAGAAACCTGTCAGACCACTCTGATACAAAGGTACCAAGTTAATAAAATTTGTCCATAAAATCAGACAAAAGGCATCACAGTTTTATTAAGATCTAAACTGTGCAGTCTGTTTTATTACCACCTGTTATAAATTATCCACCCAAACCTCTGTTTTGTAGAGACAGCCCGTATCCAGACTTACTGCATTCCCAGGACAGTGAATTTCCTGGGTACTGAAGGGAATGGCTGTCCCCTGCCACAAGGCCAGGTTGGATGGGGCTTGGAGCACCCTGGGGTAGTGGGACGTGTCTCTGCCACAGGCAGGGGGTGAAACAAGATGATCTTTAAGGTCCCTCCAAGCACAAACCATTCTAGGATCCTATTCAGAGGAGGAGTTTGGGCTGCAATGTGCCCCCAGCCCACTGCCATAGGCAGCCTCCAGGAGATCTTCCTGATCACTTCTGTCCAAGGGATCAAAGACAGGCTTAAAAAACCCCCAAACCTCCAGGCAACACTCAAGGCCATTGTAAAGATGTTTAGAAACCCAGCATTTGCCCCAGACAGCAGACCTGAGCAGGCTCTGAGTGTTTTAAATGCTGTTTTTTCCTCTGTTTGGGGAAGAGAAAAGCCAGTGTTGTGTCAGAACCCAGGCTTGCAGGTGCTTTAAGTATTTTACAAACTGCTGCAGCGATGCTGGAGGAGATTTTACATATCCTGACCCCTTCCCACGTGGCAGCCTCTCCAGAAAACAATCAGACAGCATGGCCAGAGCCACTCCTGGAGTCACCACCCTAAATGAGGAGCAGCACTAAAACCTGCCCAGGCTTTAGCAGAGGCCACAGCAGCAGCTTTTCCTCCCAGGTCAGGAGAGCAGCTCCACAGGGCTGGGGCAGAGGAGGAATGATCTCCCCTGCTTCCCCCCCAGCCTCCCTCCGAGCAGTTTTCAGCTGGTGGCTTGGGAATTAAAGATTCACCTCAGAAATAGCAACATGAGCTGGGTTTATCCCTAAAAGCAGGTGTCTTTTAATAGATTAGCAATTTCTTCCCCATTAATGTCTCCACCACGGCATTGCCTGGGGAAGGGGTTGTGTGTTTTACACCTGTTTTTGTAAAATCATACAATTGTGGAATGACAGAATCACAGAATTGTCAGGGGCCTTTAAAGCTCAAGTTGTTCCAGGACCCTGCCATGGGCACCTTCCACCAAACCAGGTTGCTCCAAGCCCTGTCCAACTTAGACCAGTCACAGTCTGGGAAAAAAATGTGGCATTGAGATAAACAGTTTATTAATTAAACCTCATTATATGAGGCATCAGTAAATTCCCTCCTGATCTTCATAACTTTCCTGTCCTGCGTGCAAACAAAGGAGTGAGCAGCAGTGGGTGAAATCTTGGGTTATTTAATGGAAAATAGCTGCTCTTTGGGCAGCAGAAAATGGGTTTCAGACTCAAGATACCCATGTGTGGAGGTATATTGTGTATATATATATGTATAAAAGAGAGATTTTTTTCCTCCCTTGGATGAGTTCCAGGCCCCACTCTACTGATTCATCACCCTCAGCCTCAGAGCAGCTCCGACTGCCACACACGGATATGATCTTCCCAGAACGGACAACAATTCATCACTTTTGTCATCAAAAAGCAGTTTTCCTTGAAGATTGCAGAGCAATCTAATCTTAAGCCTTCTCCCCTCCTACAAGGTGCATCTGATGGATGTAGGGATGACAGCAGAGCTCCTGGTTGGATTGAGGTTTTGCAATCATCTTCCTTCAAGGGAGTTTTGTTGGCGGGATTTGGGGTGACCTCACACTTGAGCTGGGAGGGACAGGGTGGGGTCCTTGGTGTCCCTCCCCAGTGATGTCCAGGGAGGTGTTAGAGGGGGTTTTGGAAAAAATATGGCTCTCCCAAAAGCCTCCTAAGCGTTGTTTTTATCCTCTTTGGGGCTTCAGTCCCAAAGCTCTGCAGAGTGCAAAGAAAACAGGCGTCAGTGCTCAAATCCAAAATTCCCCAAGCTGGAGAGACGTGGGGTGGAGCCCTGTCTGATTTCCTCCATCCAAATCCTGCCTCCCTCCGCCAAACTTTCACTCATTGCCATATCCAAAAATAGAAGTGTCCTACTGTGAACTTTTGCATGAAATGATTGAGGAGCTGCTCGTCACGGGCAGCAGCGGGGCCGATAGCGCCGTTCCCTACAAGGACAAAAGCGATGGGACTCTCACAGCCTGGTGCAGGCACTGAGCCACCCTCCATCCTCTGGGACAGATGGGGATCCCTTTTTACCACTTGGGGAATTCCTGAGCAGCCCCTGGAGCTCTCCAGGGATTGCCACACCATCACAGGCACATGGGATTTCATCCCGTGTCAATGCCAACAACACGGGGGGAAAAAAAGCCAAAAATGCCACCCCAGAGACGTAGCACAGCTCAGGAGGCTGAAAAAACAGGAGCAAAACTAGGAAAACAGTGATAACTATAAATAATAGTTGTGTTTTGGAATCATCCCATTTCTGTCAATGAGGCTCAGAGGTTTGTCATTTATTGCCTCCGATTTTCCCATTTCTTAAAAAGCAGAAAGGGCAGGGAAGTGATTTCCGTCACAGCAGTTCAGAGGAGGAAATTTACTGGAGGAATTTTTCAAAGAGGAAACTACAAAAGGATTGATTTTCTTTTAAAGAAAAAAAAAAAAGAAAAAGAAAAAGGAAAAAAAAACCCCAGCAGTAAAAAGTAACCATAAATCAAGCAGCTTTCTAAGAAGATTATTTTAACAACATATGATATCAGTAAGGGTGAGCTGTTCTGTAAAAAATGGGTTGTCACAACAGCTCGAGGAGGGGAGGATGGGGCTGAGGGCAGCCTGGGTATTTTGGGGAAATAAGGACACTTTGCCTACCAGAGAGGACGAAACATTTCTTAGGAAAATGCAAATAAGTACAAAGAAGTTTATCAGCATTATATTCTCTGTGTCTTGAGGACCTTCCCGCATTTTAGCCAAATTTTTGAGCCTGTGCAAAACCCAGCTGATGGAAGAGAGCAGAAAAAGAGAGTGTGGATTTACATTGGGAAAAGGATGGCAATTCTCAGAGTGGAATGGGACAGAGGGAGCTGTGCTGGGTCATTTCTGACCAGAGAAACACGAGAAAAGAAATTAAAAGCAAATTTCCGACTCTTCCAGCTGCTCTGTGATGTGCAAGGATTATCTGAGCGGTGCACAGGGAAAAAGAGGCTTTGCCCTGGGTCGGGTGAGGCTCTGGGAGCTGGGCTGGGCCAGGCAGAGCAGCTCCCCCAGGCAGGAGAGATGCCCACACCACAACCACGCTGCTCCTCTCTCCCTGCAGACATCTCATCTCCAGGAGCTGCCTGACTCCAGGGCATTTTTAAAGTGTCATTTATTTAAATTTTGCAGTTTAATCTAACGCCCCTGCTGCGGGGCTGATGTGCCTGTAGAGCGAAAATGCAATTCCGGCTTAAAAATAGCATCCTGGTGAAGAATTTCATTTTAGGTCCATTTTTCACACACTTTTGTGGGAGAGGTCTGGTTTAATCCGTTTGGAGGTGGGAGCAGGGCTGTATCTCTGTAAACAGCCCTGTGCTACAATTAATAACACCTTGTAGCTGGCTGTGCCTGCGTGCACAGGCTCCTTGTCAGAGTAAAGATCTGCTTGTAGATAAGATGGAGAGTTTATAAAGCAGCATAATTAATTACCTGCTACATTATTGCCTACCCATCCTCGCTGCCAAGCCGCCACAGGCCCAAACAAGTGACAATTACCCGAGAAGATGACACAGAAATACAGCCCCAGCTCCGCTCCAGGAGGCACTAATGTCTTTTTAGAAGTTTTTGTGGCTGTTAGGAGTGATTGGGAAGGGCTGCTGTGGAGCAGGGATGTTCTCCAGACCTGCCTTGCTGCAAGGTGCCATCACCTGCTTGGTCCTGATGCTGGACCTGGGGCTGGTGGGTGTGTGCTGTGTCAGCAGGTGACAGATGAGTTATCCCTCATTTTGAACCCATTTCAGCAGCTTGTTTCAGTCAATCCCCCTCCAGTTTCAAGCAGGAAACGAATTTTTTTGTTTTTTTTGTGTTTTCCTGAAGTCATGCCTTCATTTTGGTTAAAAACAGAAAAGGAGGCCAGATTTCAATTCAAGGTAATTAAGCCCCTAATGAAGCACCCCAGCACCTCAGCAGTCCCTCAGGGATGTGGAGGGGGGCACTCACAAAGAGCTGGGGGGGAAAAGCCAGGACACAGAACAACATTCCCTTGGGAAGGAAATCAAACACCTACAGCTCGTATTTTCCAGCCGTATCAGTCACTCAGGAACTGAGAGACAAGCTGGGGAATGCTCACCTGGTTGGGATAGAGGAAGGATTTTGGGTGTCAGAGGAAGGTGGAAAGGGGCTGTGTCACCCTGGGGTCCCTTGGCTGTGTCCCCCAGGGGAGAGGGACACCCTGAGGAGCCAGTGGCACCTCACACCCTTCAGGGGAGATGAAGCCAACCTTTACAATAAATTAATTTGTTTTTCCACATCCATCACTGCTCCCTCCACGGTTGGATCCCTTGGGGGAGACTCCACACAACTTCCAGTGCCTTACCTGGGCTGTCCCTGCTGGGGACTCAGAGGTGACATTGGGTTTTTCAGAGGTGGCTGCACACAGCCTCAACAAAGCCCCGGGGCCGTGGGGATGCTGGTGTGGCAGTGGGAGGCACTGGGAAGGGTGGATTTCTCCTAAAGGATGACATTTTCCTCTCTTTGCTAAGCAGGCACGGTAGTTTCATACATCTGCTGAAAACACTGAGGCTTTTAGACACTATAAAACTTGTTTTCAGAGAAAACACTCCATGAAGTGGATTGAAAAAAGAGATTTCCCAGACCCTGGAATTGGATGCTGAGAGTAACTCATCCAGGTTTAACCTCTTCATTAGCAGTTTCCTCATTAACTATTTACAGCTCTGAGGGGCTGGGCTCACAATTTCCTCCTCATCCCACCCCCACTCCTGCTCACGATGTCAAAATCTTTCCCAGAGCTGTAATTTGGGAATAACATCAGTCAAGAGACTAAAGAACAACAGGATCAAATTGGTGCTGTTCTCATGGCACCAGGGGCTGCTGTAAAGCAGCCAAAACCAAAATACCAAATGGAATATGGAACCAAAATACTGGGGACTGCAATAGGGTTTTTTGGGGTGGTTTCTAATACCCCATGGCCCCTCCAAGCAGGACAGAGAGGTTGGAGGCTCTTGCCTGCTCCACCACACCTTTTCCTGACCCCAAAATCATGCCTGACAATATTTGTACGACCCAAAGAAGAGCTGAGCTGCCTCTGCTGTGCTGATCTCCAGGCAGCTTAGCCCCAGCTCACCTTAAACTGCCTGATATCTCTGAAAATTCCCACAGGAATAGGTTTGTGCTGCACTTGTGTTGCAAATGCCAGGAAAAAGGATCAAAGAGCTTTTCTCCCCAACAGATTGAGCCCTGACTTTGAAAAAGGCATTTTCCAGCAGCTCTAGCAGAGGGTTTGGTCCCCATCCAGCCCCAGTGAGGGCTGAAGGTGGAGGGCCAGCAGCAGGGAGAGCATCCCTATCCACTGCTTCTATCGTGGGTGCCGTGGCCAGCTCTGGGAAAAGGGTTTTCTGTAGAAAGAATCATTTTATTTCAGCTGCAGGGCTGAGGAAGGGCGCTGATGTGACTGCCTGCAATGCAGGACAGCACACAGGGAGTGGAGTGAGACATCCATGAGGAGCAAAATTTGATTTGGAGGAATGAGGCTCCAGGGAATATTGGGTTTTCTGGTATAAACCACTTGCCTGTGCCTGGAAGTGAAGCCTGAATCTCTGCAGCCCTGCCTGATGGGGAAGAGAGGGGGAATGAAGGGAAAAGCTTGCTCTGACTTAATTAGGGTGGGAATAAAAAGAGGGGAGAGAGGCTCTGCACCCTGACCCAGCTGCCCCAGGCAGGACAGTGGGGGCAGGCACTGAGGGTCTATCCTCAGGAACAGAAAACCAACAATTTGTTAAACCCACAGGTATCAAACACACTCCTGGTTACAAGCCAAAGGCTTTTCCCCTTATCACCCAATTTCCATGGCTCAGGTTTTAGAAGAAGCACTGAATTTAGTGCTTGCTTAGTCCTCGTGGATCCCTCCAGCTCAGGGCATTCTGTGATTCTGTGAGCTTTGTGCATCTCCCACCCCAGGCATGGCCAGACCCTGAGGCATCACAGCACCCTGAGTGTGTCAGGGGCACGGGGGGAGGATGCAAACTCCACAGTCCAGACTTCCCTGTGGTGAGGGAGGAGTGTCCAGGAAAGAGGGCACCAGCTCCAGGGATGGATGGGTGCCTCAGAATTTAAATAATCTAAATCTTGATTAGGGGGAAAAGTGGCTGGTTTGACTCTGAGGACTGGGAGACCCAATCTGACATAAACATCCCATCCACAGGGCCAGCAGGCTCACCTCAGAGCAACCAAACCCCAGCTCATGGAATCCTTTAATCTGGAAAACCTTTTTGGGAAGAGAGCCTGGGTGTCCATCTCCCCTGACAGTGTCAGACAAGAGTCCCAGCTCTGCTCCTCGCTGCAGAGGAACAGCAAGTGAAAAGTGCTGGTCTGTGCTTAAGTGCAGGGGAGGGAGAGGTGGAAACATCCAGGAGGAGCAAACACAACACACTTGTCACTCAGCAATTATTGGCAAGACTAATTTGCCCCTGAATGCTGCAATAAAGCGATTCCCAGAACAGTGTAGCTGTAGGAGTACCAGGAAAAAATGATTAAATCTTATTTATTGGTTTTTGTATATATGTGTGTGTATGTGAGTGCAATGCTAAGCATTGCTGAAACAGGAAGGTCAGGCACTTGGAAATCTCGAAAAACACCTTTGGGCCCCAGCTTTGGTGCTTTCCTCACAGGGAACAGGGCCCAGCTCCACACAGCACACTGGCACTGATGCTCCATGCTGCCTCTCCAAGTGCTTTGCACACATCTGTCCTCAGAAATTCCCTCACAAAGCCAGGTGGGAATTTCCAGCTATCTCAGCACAGGCAAGGTAATGAGCACATCACTCGTTACAAGCCCCTGGCCTCATTTTCCAAGGCTTCAAGTGGCCACAGGATTCAAGCTTCTGTAGGAACATCTGTCATTTCCTACATGTTTACCAGTAAAAGAAATAAACTGGTGAGAGATGCCTTGCAGACATTTCTGCTGCCAAACTGATTAAAACAGTACAGGGGGGAGAACAAATTAAAACAGTACAGGGGGGAGAACAACCAAAAGACAAGAAAAAGCTTTTGCTGTTCTTCTCTGAACAATTTAATTTTTCCAGCTGCCATGTAATGCAAGCCATGCCCTGGGCTGCTTTTGGGTACCTGAGCTCTTCTGCTTCCCTTCTGACCTCTTGGTTTTGATAGCTCTCCTCAGAGATCCTCTTCTTTGTGCAGTGCTGTGCAGGGGAGCACATCCCTGAGGGGGAAGGGCTGTGCCAGATTTTAATACCAAAGTACAAAAAATGCATCTCCTCCACCAGGAGAGTGAATCCACAGCAGAGCTGGGATGCAGAGGGCTGGATGGGCTGGAAACCTGCATCAAAGCCTGATCTGGTTTAATGATTTGGCAGCTTAGTTTCAGCTTTGGTCTCTTCAGGGCAGAGGCAGTTTGGGCTGCCAGTCACCAAAGGCAGATAAGAAACTTTGCTTTGGGGTCCTGACCCGTGTTTAGAGCTCAGGGTTCATTTGAGGGTTGCACCCCCTAATCTGCACCACAGATAATCTCCCCAGAGCCTCTCCAGGGATGGAGCCCCTCTGCTCTGGAGCCAGGCTGGCAGAGCTGGGGGTGCTCCCCTGCACAAGAGAAGGCTCCAGGGAGAGCTCAGAGCCCCTTGCAGGGCCTGAAGGGCTCCAGGAGAGCTGGAGAGGGACTGGGGACAAGGCATGGAGGGACAGGACAAGGGAGAATGAAAAAGGGCAGATTTAAATGAGATTTTAAGAAGAAATCCTTCCCTGTGAGGATGGTGAGACCTGGCACAGGGTGCCCAGAGCAGCTGTGGCTGCCCCTGGATCCCTGGGAGTGTCCAAGGCCAGGCTGGACAGGGCTTGGAGCCACCTGGGACAGTGGGAGGTGTCCCTGCCATGGCAGAGGGGATGAAATGGGATGATCTTGAAGGTCCTTCCAGCCCAAACCATTCCATGATTCCATAAGAACAGGAGAATTTCCAGGACAAGCTGTGGGCACAGCGTTGCTCAGGGATCAGCTTGGCACGTTCAAATGCCAACGGGAATTTTATCTTCATTTTTAATGTATTCAAACCTGAGGCCATTTTGAAGCTTTTCCATTGCAAGATTAGGTTCTGAATTTGCCCTGGCAGCCCTTTGAGGGGATGTTTCCAGCACGTGGCACGCTAAGAGAAACAAGAAATCCCACAATGATTGATGGAAATATGGAAATATTTGGAAACATGAACTGCAGGGGCAGACAGCAATGGAACCTCTTCGGAGCACGGGTCCAACTCAGTCACTTAAGTGGCACCAGCTTAGCAGGAGGTTCTAAATTAAAACTGGGTTGGTAACACTGCCCCAAGCCTCCAATTCTCAACACAAAAGTAAGGTTTTTTGACAGGATTTTTGGCAGGGTTTCTGTCTGTCAGTTGAGCAAACCATCACAGAAATCCCTGGGCTTGGCTTGGAGCTGAAGGACTTCTGGTGTCACCCTCAAGAGGTCCTTAAAGAAATCAAACCAGCCAGTGGTTTTTGTGAAAAATCAAACCAGCCAGTGGCCCTCTCCTGCCATTCCAGCAGAGAATCTCAATCTTCAGCTCAAGAACAGGAGCACAGGGCTTGCAGGCAGGTGAGCCTGCCCTTCCCGTGGAGCAGAGGACAATGCTGAGGCTCTGACAGCTTCTGGGCAGGGCAAAATCCCCTGTGGGCCTGGGGAAGACATTCCCTCACTGCTTCCCTCCAGGAGCCAGGCATGGAATAAAATCCAGACTGGAAAGATGGAGAAGTTTTGGAGCCTGAAAGAAGAGACAAAGCTGAGCTCTGCCCCTCTGCCCCTGCTGTGGTCCAGCCTGGTTTGCACAGGGGAATCAGGGAATAAGAAGCCTAAAAATTAAACCTGGTATTAATATTAGACTTCACATTTTCAAAGATGAAAGGGAAAAAGGGTTCAGCTTAAACCTGGTGGACAGTTCTGGTTTAGAGCAGCAGAGCTGCCCTTCACAGCAGGGACAGAAAATCCATCACCTCTGGATCTGAGCTGGGCGCTCACAGGAAGGAACAAGGGGTGGCCATGAGGTTTAAATTAAGGAGGGAGAAATCAGATGTCTGATTTTACTTTAAAATAAAGCTTCCTAAGTTACATTTCCCAAGCAGTTCCACAGCAGCTGGATTTAGAGCTGTTTTGGGGCTGGCTTTTCTTCATCATTTATTTCAGTATCTTTATGAAGATCCCTTTGAAATGAGATCTGGGGCCATCCAGGCAACTCACCCAGCCTTTTCCAAGATTTCCAAAGTCTGAAGGTACAGATGGGATAGAAGTTAATTTATTTAATCTAATTAATTTATAATTATAGAGGCCACAAAAGGTGGCTGAGTGTAAAGATAGGGCAGGAAATCCAGCAACATTTTATGCTTAATATGCTATAAACTAAAATCTCACCCTGGCAGAGTTTTATGGATTCCTGAGGCTCACCAGGGGATGCTGGTGAGGGTGGAGGTGACTTCCTGCATCANGGGGCAGGCTCCGGGCGGGGGCAGCTCTTCCTCCGCTCCCTCCTCTTCCTCCTGTTGGCCGGGCCCCCGTCGCGCCGCCCGGCGCTGGGGCAGCTGCGCTACGCCGTGCCGGAGGAGCTGGAGCACGGAGCCTTCGTGGCCAACCTGGGTGAGGACTTGGGACTCGATGTGTCCACCCTGTCAGCGCGGAGGTTCCGCATAGTGTCACGGGCCGGGGCCAGGCAGCACCTGGAGGTGAACCTGGAGAACGGGATCCTCTTTGTGAACGAGCGCATTGACCGGGAGGAGGTGTGCGAGGCCGGAGGGACCTGCCTGCTCCACCTGCAGCTCCTCGTCGAGAGCCCCCTGGAGCTCTACCGCGTCGAGGTGGAGGTGCTGGACATCAACGACCACGCACCCACTTTCCCTTGGCAAGAATACGTTCTGGAGGTGGCTGAGTCTGCCGTGCTCGGTGCCCGCTTCCCCCTGGAGAGCGCCCAGGATCCTGACGTGGGCACCAACTCCGTGCACACCTACCGCCTCAGCCCCAATGCTTTCTTTTCACTTGAGGTGCAGACACGCAGCGATGCCAGCAAGTTTGCAGAGCTGGTGCTGGAGCGTGCCCTCGACCGTGAGCAGCAGCGTGTGCACCGAGTGCTGCTCACCGCTCTCGACGGCGGCGTCCCCGAGCGCTCAGGCACAGCTCACATCCTCGTCACGGTGCTGGACGCCAACGATAACGTGCCTGCCTTTGACCAGCCCTCCTATGGTGTGAGCCTCCCTGAGGATGCTCCTGCTGGCACTCTGGTCATCCAGCTCAATGCCACTGACCTGGATGAGGGCCCCAATGGGGAGATTGAGTACTCCTTCAGTGGGCACGCACCACCACGTGTCCGGGAGCTCTTCCACGTAGAGCCCCGGAGTGGGCAGGTGCTGCTGAAGGGCCGCCTGGACTACGAGCGGGCCAGCCTCCACGAGCTCTATGTGCAAGCCAAGGACCGTGGACCCTCAGCTGTGGCTGTGCACTGCAGGGTGCTTGTGCACCTCCTTGATGTCAATGACAACGCGCCAGAGGTGACCCTCACCTCTGTGTCCACGCCTGTGCTGGAGGATGCCCCTCCGGGCACTGTGATCGCTGTCATCAGTGTTCTGGACAGGGACTCTGGGGACAACGGGCGTGTGAGCTGTGAGGTCAGCCCCAATGTGCCATTCGAGCTCCGCTCCTCCTTCCGGAACTACTACACGCTGGTCACCACGCAGGCGCTGGACCGGGAGGCCGTGCCCGAGTACAACGTGAGCATCACGGCACGAGACATGGGCTCTCCTGCCCTGCTGACCCGCAGCACCCTCACCATCCCGGTATCTGACGTGAACGACAACGCCCCGCGCTTCCTCCAGCCCTCCTACAGCGTCTATGTGATGGAGAACAACGCACCAGGTGCCTCCATCTGCTCTGTCAGTGCTTTAGACCCTGACTGCCAACAGAATGCCTACCTGTCCTACTCCATTGCCGATGGGCACATCCATGGCATGCCTGTGGGCACCTACGTGTCCATCAACTCCGACAGCGGGCACATGTACGCCCTGCGCTCCCTCGACTACGAGCAGATCCGCAGCTTCCAGATCCAGGTGCAAGCACAGGACGCGGGGTTTCCCCCACTCAGCGCCAACGTCACTGTCCACATCTTCGTGTTGGACCAGAATGACAACGCTCCTGTCATCGTTTCCCCCATGCCCCGCAATGGCTCCGTTGCCACCGAGCTGGTGCCGCGATCGGCCAGGCCCGGCTACCTCGTGGGCACGGTGTCGGCAGTGGATGCCGACGCGGGGCTGAACTCTCGCCTCTCCTACCAGCTCCTCCAGGCTACTGACTTCACTCTCTTCAGTGTGGCACCTGACACGGGTGAGCTGCGCACCCTCCGCTCCTTTCTGGAGCAGGATGCAAGCCGGCAGCAGCTGGTGGTGCAGGTGCGGGATGGTGGGCAGCCAGCCCTCTCTGCCACCGTGTCCCTCCTGCTTTCGGTGGTGGAGACCATGCCCCAGACTCTCTCCGACTTCAGCGAGTTCAGCCTCCCTCCAGAGGTCTCCTCATCTTCCCCACTCACCCTCTATCTCCTTGTCTCCCTGGGCTCCATCTCCTTCACCTTCCTTCTCGCCATCCTCATCCTCACAGCCATTCGCTGCCGTGGAGAGCGGCGTTCCCGCCAAGAGGACAGCTGCTCGCCACCTCGCTGCCACTGCTGTCCCGGGTCCAGACCCTCCTCTGATGGCCTGAAGACTTCCAACCTGACGGCACAGCCCCCTGCAGGGACCACGGCTGCCACCTGCCTTGATGTGCCTGCGGGCGGCCCCCCAGGCTACTGCTACAAGGTGTGCCTTGGTCCCGAGTCTGCTCAGAGCGACTTCATGTTCCTCAAACCCTGCAGCCCTCCCCGGAACAACGAGAAGGATCCCGGGAAGCGGCCCCGGCCAGACCAGCATCTCCAGGTCTCCAAAGAGGTAACAATGCCCAGCAGTGCTTAGCAGCACGCCGCAGGTCCCCCCAGCCCCCTCCCTCAGCCACGAGGGAAACCAAGCACCGCTTCTCCCAGAGAATAACCGGAGCCTTTGATCAGTGCGGGAATTTGGAGCCGTCAGGCAGCGGGATCTCCACCGAGCTTCCCGACGGGTCTAATTACCGGGGGAGCGCCAGGCTCGGCTGAGGCGAGAGGAAATCCCTCCTCACCGTCTTTTGTACCCATTAGAGGCAACAGAGATGCTCCAGTGCCCTAGGGGCGGTGGGATAGTGGGGGTGGCTCCTCCTTCGCGTGGGTAAGCAATTCACACTGGGACAGTCTGAGCATCACTGCTGCTCTGCTTCCCCTGTGCTGCGTCCCGGGCCTGGCTGCTGTTCTGCACCAGGTTGTGCCAGCAGGCAGGGAGTGGGGTCTTCGGGGCAGGATTTTGATGTCAACATTTGTTAGGTTTTGAATTGAGGAATGTCTAATTTTCCTGATGAAAGACTCTCCAAAACACGATTACAAGGATGGAGAGTGATGAGGCGTCTAATCCACTTACATTTGACTTTTAATAAACCAGCCCTTCTGAGGAGAGCCCAAGACTCTGCCAAGAGAGTCTCTCCATGTGTCTCCTTGCACCCCTGGACTCTCTTCCCTAATACTAAATTCAATTTTCCTGCAGTTTTTGCAACCCTCCTGGGACATGCAGCATGCAGCCAATTTCTGCATCTCTCACCATTTGGTACCTCAGACCTGGGCTAAGTAAACATTGCACATGCAAAAAGACTTTTGAAAATTAATAGGAATAGGAAAACCACCTGTCTCTCCCCAGAATGACAGGCTTAATGCTCCCAGAGGCAGAGGACAAGCCCAAAAACACCTCAATATCTCAGGAGGGTGGGGAAAATCCAGAAGGGAACAGACTGATCCAGTGATGTCTCAGTTTCCCCAAAACAGGAATGTGCTGCTTGCTTCTCCACAAAGGGCACAGGGGAAGTGCAGATGTGGTCCTGCACCCCTGCCTGCTGAAGCCTTGTGCTGGCAGGGCTGGGTGTTTTGACAAAGGGTCCCAGGGCTGATTGACAGAGGATCCCAATAACCAGCTTTGCTCTTCCCTGTGTCTTCCAGGCCAAGCAGCCCAACACGGACTGGCTGCCTCCAGGCACACAGAGACCTGCCCTGAAAAGGTACAAAATCCAGCACTGGGGGAACAGAGGAAGCAGCTGGAAGTGGGATATGGGAATGGGGAGGTTATGTCTGACACAGCTTTGAACCAGTCTCTTCTTTAGCTCCCAGAGCCTGGAAGATGTGGGGGAAATCCGTAGAGCCCTCCAGAAGGAGCACGAGAGGCTGTGCACACTGGTGACCCCTGTCTCTGGTTAGTATTAAGATGCTGGGGCTGGGAAGATCAGACCAGACCCTCTGGTCGCTTTTGGAGGTGCAGGGGGGGCATCACATCTCTGTTCCTAGCAGTGTTGAAATTTTGTGGGTGGAAGGGGTGTCCAGGCACCAGGATGCAAGTTGGTGACACAGGACTGGCATCCTGACATGTGGATGTGACCTTAATCTCATCTTTTCTCCAGAGTTTCAGAAGGTTTCAGCAGGCCCCAACAGCGTGTGGACACCCCACTACAGCCCCTTGTACCCAGCCCTGGATTATCAGCACAACGTTTACATCCCTGGCACCCCCACTCTGCTTTCCAGCAAGGATGGGCCCCTCTTCCCAGGCCGGGAGAACAAAAACAGCTTCTCCACCTTTGGCAAGAGGAAGAAGATGACAACTTACTGTGACATGCATGACAGTGTGGTTATCAACAACGACCTGAAATAGCCTGGATGCCTCTATCCTTGGAATCTGCTGCATTTTTTCAGCTGCCAGGTCCACCCACAGCACACGCCCCCATGTAGGGACCACTCGAGACTTTATGGGGCTGCTGGGAGAGTGGCTCAACAGAGCACATGGGAAGGATTTAAGGAGAGAGAGACTGAAAATTACAGGGATTGGGGGTGGTGGCAGGGGGAATTTCTCCCATCTCATCTTGCAGAGCTGTATTGGCAGCAGGTGCTGTTTGAGGTCCATATGACCAGATTTAAGCAAATCTGCCTTGAGTTTACCCATTCCCATGTCCTCTTAGGGACCATTCATCTCTGTAAACATTGTCACTTCTTTGTCTTGTCTGGCTGTGTGAATGTACTGAGCTGCATGCCTGTATCTCTGTCCCAGTAGGCACAGAAAGTGTAAGCCTGGTTCAGCCAAGCCTGACCTTACACACTGGGGCAGCGACCATTGCTCTGTCCCCGAGATCCAGCGGGATGTGTTGCATGTCTAGAGCAGCAATTGGTGTCTGTTTTCTCTGGGAAGTGAGTGCAAAACCCAGCCTTCATGAGTGCTTCTCTTCAAACCCTGACCCAACACTGGCAGGGCTGGGCATAGCCTGGGTGCAGGGCAGAGACAGCCTTTGTTCCAAGAACAGCTCGTGCACACACGGGCTGGATGGCCAGAAGAGCTGCTAGCTTACCTGAGATGAGCTCATGCTGGGTAGCTCTCTAGCCCAAGGCAACATCATCTGAAAGAAAAAGAGTTTCCAGCCTTTGGAGTGACCCCAGCACAGGTGACAGGCTCTCCCCTCCTGCCTTTGCCCTCACTTGGATCTCTGTTTTACCCAAGTCCTGAATGCCTGGAGGAGCCCCTGGTGCACTGGGGGCCCCACCTGCATAGGAAAAACATCTCCAAATGTGCCCTGTTTCTCTTTGAGAACTTTTAGCTGGCAGTCAGGAGCCCTCAAGGGCAGGACTCCATCCCCAGAACAGTCTCTCCCCTGCCTTGTGCACCCTGCACCTGTCCACCAGTCTGTCTGTCACCATTGCCAATTGCTCTGGTCATGGGACAGTTCATTTTGAATCCATCTGTGCAGAACATGACAGCTCTTTCTAAACTGGGTTTGTTTCACTATGTCTGATTTGTACCAATAAATTGTATTTTAATAGCTCACCCTGGCTCCTGGCTGACCCTGAGTTGCACATGACAGCAGGGATTGCTGCACAGCTCTTGGAGCAGTACTCTCAGCTCCAGGAAAAACATCTGTCCTTCTGAGTTCTGGAGCAGAGAGCTCCTTTTATGCTGAGAGTTCGTTTTATACACCCCACCTGGATTCTGGGAGCTCAAGGTCCCGTTCCCTCCTTCCCTGGATTGAGGATCCCTTTGGGGTTATTGCTAGAAGGAGCTGGAGATATCACAGAGCTCCTTGCTCCACGCTCCAGCTTGGCCAGAGGGGAATTTGTACCATGGTGTGGGCATCCACGAGCTGCTGGGGAGAGGGGCTGGATGTGGCACTAATGGCAGAACAAATCGTGGTTGTTACGGTGCTTTCTCTGGTTAATTGACCCTTTCCCCTGGATAAGCAGCTTGCCTCAAGAGCCACAGAGATAATCTGGATCTGTGCCAGGTGCAGGGACTGGCTCCCAGGGGATAGGGATGGATAGGTAGGATGGCTCTTGGCTTGATGTGGGAATCACTTGGCCTTCAGATGAAGTCCTGAGGTGGTGGGGCTGTGGTTGTCCTTCTCGTACCCTGAACCTGCTCGGTGGCTGGCTTGGGGAGGCTGCAATGCGGCTTTTGGGATTAACCCAGAAAAGTCCTTGTCTTCTAGTGGGCAATGTGCTCTTCAGTGGAAGCAGGGGGCAGGGAGCACTCAGAGGGGCCTCGTGGGAGTCAGGGGCCTGGGAGGACAAAGCTTTGGACATGAAAGGGACCTGGATTTTTCTGGTGACTTCAGTTCCAGCTCACATCTGCCTGACTGCGGGTAGATGAAATATTCCCTGTCCCAATTAGACGGTAGGATGAAGGATTTTATGCTGCCAAGTGCATTCTTCAAGGGTCTCCAGAGAGTGTTAAGGGTAAAAAAGAACCCCAAACAGCTTCTGCCTGAGACCTCTGTACAGTATTAGCCTGTTCCACTGCTTCAAAAGAACAAGGGATTTATGTAAAGTGATACAATAAGATTAATAACAGCCTCAAGAAGTAATAAAAGCATCAAATGGACCTGACTCCCTGCAGGGCAGCAAGCATCTCCTCCTCCCAGATTAACTCTGGCAGTATCTCCCCTGCATTTTTAGGTGGTGCTGGTCAGGCAGTGGGAGAGAACTGCAGCCCTTCTGCAGGAGGCTGAGCTGCTCACTGTGCTCCAGCTCACACAGCAAAAGCACCCAGCACATCCTGTGCTTCACAGCATCCAAGAGCTAAATGAACACACAAAAGTGGTGTTTTGTATCAGATTCCCAGGAGTGGCTTCACAAAGGGGAAATTGATCCCTAAGTTGACCCCCCAAAAACCATAAGCATTTGAAAGTGACATTTTGCATCTCTGTCTTCGGAAAATCACGGGGTCAAGCAACCAAGGGGACAAGTTTGTCACCTCCCCTGTCCCTCTCCAGTGCATTTTCTTGGCATTTTTTAATCCCTACTACCCTACTCAGTGGTGCCCATGTAATTGCTTCCATGTCCTCTGATTACTCCTGAGCATCAGCCCGTGGGGTGAGATAGATACACACACACACACGTCAGTACTCCTTGCTGACCCCCAGGTTTGCATGTTCAGTTCAGACATCTTCCAAAAGGGATTTGAGCAACACAGCACCACCCCAGGCCCCAACACCCTACACTCCCCCAGTATCTACTTTTGCTTAGCTGAAGGAAAACCTGCACTGACAAGAGCTCAGTTTCAATCTTTCATTTCAATCACCATATTGATAAAAAGGACAATAAAAAGGGACTTGCTTTAGGGGAGAGAGGACTTGCATAAATCTAATTCAACCACACTACTATCCCTCTTCAAAGGGCATCTCTGGTCAGAATTGTCCATCTAAAAGATGAGATCTCCTTTGAAGATCTCCCACAGGGACAGGGTCTCATTAAAAATGCAAGGTCTTTGCCCTACAACTAGTTATTTTTACAACTCTCCCTGTGCTAACACTCCTGCACAGCCGATGAGCATTAGCTGGGTTTTGAAGCCTGGTAATGCACTGGGCATGAGAGCTCCTTTGGAGATCTGCTCAGCAGAACACTCTCTGGATGCCCTTCTCACATGTTCCAGCTCTCTCAGAGATCCAGAGGCAATTTTGGCTTTCAGGGACCTGCCAGCCAGCTTGAGGTTTGCTTCTAGGACAGTGGGAAAGCTGCCATGTGGTGCAGTTGGCTGCAAAATGCTTCAGGCCATGCAAGGCAGGCACACAGCGCTTCTGGGCTCCAGCACAAGCAGGGGTTTGTGCTCTTGCTGTTGCTGAATAGACTGCTCAGATGGAAACATCACTTGTATCTCTGTAATGACTTGAAAATGTATCCCAGAGAGACAAAACCAATCCAGAGGTGGAGAGAAAAGAGGCCAGAGGGAAAGACCCAGAGGGGCTGATGCTCAGTTGTACTCCCATCTGCCAGGCAGGGAATCAAGAAACAGCCAGCAAATTCCCCAGAAAGCCTCAGCATGGACACAGCCCTCTGCATGCAGCGGGGTCAGGCTGGGTAGAGCCATGGGTACAGGTGGGTCTCAGCTCCCAGAGGGTGTGGTGTTGGCAGGACAGAGCTAAAATCCATGAGGACCAGTGGGAGCCTCTGCATGGACCTTGGCCAGCCCAATCTGTGGCACTCAGTGGTTAATTAGATCCTCCAAAGATGCTAGGAATTTCTTCCCTTCCCTTCCCTTCCCTTCCCTTCCCTTCCCTTCCCTTCCCTTCCCTTCCCTTCCCTTTCATAAAACTGGGAAGTTTTGACAGATTCTCAAGACCCATCCAAGTTTTCAGCCAAATATAAATTGATTTTGCAGGACACAGATCAGAAGAGGATGAGATAGGAACAAAACCCCTCAAACCCATTTTGTGGTGCAGATGGGGGAATTTTTCACATCTCTTGGGAACTTCTGGGTATGGCACAGGACATTTCACACAATAACTCAGATTTCCAGCACGTGAAATGTGGGGAATGTGGGTTTCCCACAGCAAACACATCCAGCTAAGCCACATCAATCCTTATTTAACCTGCTAACCACATCATCAAACCTTATTCCAGCATTAATAACTGTTAATATTTTGCTCTGCTTTGGGCCCTTCCTGTGCTTTGGGGGTGGTGGAGCCGTGTTTATCGTTCAGCTGAGCTGAAGGGAAAGCTGTGTTCTGGCAGGATGCTCCTGGGAGTGCTCACCCCTCTGCCTGCCCTGGGCACCAGCAGGATCAGCTGGATGCCAGGGGGAGGCAGAAGTGATGGCTGAGGCCATGAGCATTGGTTCACCACCTTTTCTCACAGATTTTGGCAGGTCCTTCGTGCCTCTGAGGCAGGAATAACCCTTCAGATCCCCGGATTCCACTGCCCTCTTCCCAAAGCTGCTGCGCTGACCAAAGGCTCAGTCACACTCTTCCAGCAGAGTGCTTTGATCTTTCTGAGCTTGGAGAAGAAAAATGTCTTCACCTGAGAGAGTGGTCAGGCATTGGAACAGGATGCTCAGGGACATGGTTGAGTCACAGTCCCTGGAAGTGTTCAAGCAACGTGTGGATGTGGTGCTGGGGAACGTGGTTTAACACCGGGCTGGCAGCGTCAGCTCAGCCATCACAGAGGGCTGCTCCAACCTTAATTCTTCTGGGATTCTGTGATCAGCAGTGCCTTTAAAGTATTCACTGACACACAAATGTACCAGCCAAGGCAGATGTAGATTGAATCTGTTCTGAATCCACAGTGTCTCGACTGAAAAACAAGGGTACAGCACCTGTCCTCCCCTTGTTTAGTATTTCTATCTTGTCTTCAGCCATACATCTTGTTTAGGGCACACCAGGTCACAGCTAGATTAGATTACAGCAAGG